ATGCCATCCACAAAAAAGAAGGCGACAGGTATTTTAAAATGGCTATTAATTGCAGTAACCAAAAATACCAAAGCTTCTTTTGGTTCTGCCAAGTGATCACCTTCTAAACCCGTTCCCATATCAACATAGCCGCGAAATTTATGTCCGTCCCATTCAATTCGGCGGCGAACGCTCATTTCGTCAATGACTAAAGGGGCTAGTAGTGACTGTTGAAATGTATCGGCTTTAAGTTTTAGAGCCGTAAAAGACTCTTTGGTAAATCCTGGCTATTTTTAAATACCACTTTTTTAGAGTATGTGAATGTGGTAGGCTTACATGAAATATTTTGCGTACGTAGTCGTACGCTCTAGGCGAGTAATAATGCAAGGTTAGAGCGAAGCTGCGGAGAGCTGCAGAATATTTTTGTCTTGATACAACTCCAGAGTCAGAATTTTTTACTTCTCGAGCAATTAATTCTTGAATCTGTAAGAATTACTAATCAGCATCAGTGCCATGATTAGTTACGGCAATGAATAGTACTACCCCATCTATTCCCGTGAATGATGATATGACATCATATGAGTACCATAAAAATAACAGTCAAGTATAATTATAGTTTATAATACATACCTCTATATTGGTATTTTTTAAGTTCTCCTTCTTCATGGCAAATTTATTTTGTAATGCTTCTAATAGTTCTTCAATGCTTGTTATTTTCCTCTTTAATCTTCGGTTTTGAGTTTGTAATCGCTTTATCTTTAAATTCTGTTTTTAATTTTTTCTTCGGGCCATTTTAACATGCGTCTCAATTTTTGTTTTCTTGGCGTTGAAACCGTTGAACTTCCCACGTCTTCGTTGACTCCAACAGTTTTAACTATTGGATGAGTTTCTAGTGCTACGCAATCCTGTACATTTAGCATTTTACTGTCTGGAATTTGCGAAAATATGTAATTCCCATTTTGTTGGTTCCTATCGGAGCTTTTGTTAGATAAAACTATTTTTGTTTCTACTAATTTTTCTGCAAGTGGCTCAACATTTTGAGCTATATCTTCGATGACTTTACAGCCTATATCTTTTAGGTACTTTGATTTCACTTTTTCTTCGTTATTATTATTATAATTTAGAATACAAGCTTTCTTAGTAGGCTGACAATCTAAATTATCCAATTTAATTTGTCTTTTTGAAGGCTATGAAGGTATTTACATTGATGTTTTAACATTCCTCAACTCAGGAGGACAAAAACCGAGATTGCATGCAAAAAATTTTGCCACCGTCAATGTATTTATCCTTGGTAGATTAGTACTTTCTGCTTTTACGAATCTGTCTTCCATGATACTGTTACGAGCTTGTGGTTCGCGACAATTAAAAACTGCCGATTTAATTACCAAAATTGACACTTTAATTACACAACACTAATTACAATCTAAAACCACACTAATAATAAAACACAATTGTACTACTGATCACTTAAGTTCGCAGTTGTTTCGCTTCGAAGTATTCTCTTGTATCGCTAATTCAATACTGCCTCGGTCGTGGTCTATACCGGCTTTATATAGGGCCTTAGATAGTTTCCAGAACCTTCTACTGTAGAAACATCTAGAATGTTCGAGTACATATCGGTCCCGAAATTTCTAGAAGGACCTTGACTCTCCTAGTTCTGCTACTCGACACTAGAGGGCGCTAGTGGTAAATAGTGTTGCCATGTACAAGACATTAATAGTGGCGCGCAACACTGCCCCCTCCTAAGACATGCTTGTCCCGAGCATTATTGGCCCCATAATAACGCGCCAGTTGATCCACGTGGACACTCTTGGGAGTACCTCCTCTAACATCAGTCAGCACCCGCCAGTTTCCCTGCTGCTGCTGGGCGGTGCTGTTAGCCACACTACCCTCTCGAGATCGATCACCTTCCCTTTCTACAGTTCGTTTAGGGCAACTGGATCGAAGATGGCCCCTTTCCCCACAGCCGTAGCACCTAGGGCTGTATCCTTTATTGCGGTCGCGAACTGTAGCCGCTGTAACCTCCCTGAAGCGATAGGAATGATGATCCTGCCGCACGGCTTCCACCTCCAGTGCATGGGCCAACGCCTCCTTAAGCGTCTCGTGGTACCCGAGCCTCACAGCAGCTCTGACTTCAAGGTCATGGATGCCGTCGATGAATGTCTGCACCAGGTTCCCTACAATGAGGGCAGGTACAGACTGGTATGCTTTTCGAACCAGCTTCTCCACCTCAAGGGCCCACTGCTGTAGGTTTTCGTTACTGCGTTGCACGCGATCTTTAAGTTGCGCACGAAAGACATGTTCCAGGTGAGCGTCGCCATATCTCGCCTCCAACGCCTCAAGGAGCTGCTCGTAAGTCACTTCCTTACCGAGAGTTTCCAGAACAGTTAAGGCCTGGTTGCGTAGCCCTAGGGTGAGAGCAGTCATGGCCCGACTTTTATTCCAGCCGTTTGCCTTCATAACAGCCTCGAACTGCATTTTATAGGCCGACCAGGAAGAAGTCCCGTCAAATGGCGGCACTTTGAACAATCCACCTAGCGAAGGTGTTGTAGCTACCGCGGGAGCTGTAATTCCATCTCCATGTTTGAGGTCGTCCAGCGTTTTCTTCACGTCAGCCATCACGTTGTCAACCCGATTGTACACTTGGTCGATTCGGGTTTCAGCTTCCGCAAGGCGGTTGTCATATTGAGCAACCCTATCCTTCAACTCCTTTATCTCTTTCCCGAAGGTAGCGTGAAGGTCCTTCATGAGGAGCATCTGCACTTCCTTATAGCGTTTGAGCTGTTCTTCCAACCGACGGCGCTGTTCCTCCTGTTGGCGGACCTGTTCCTCCTGTAGGCGCTGCAGCTGCTCTTCCAACCGACGGGCCTGTTCCTCCTGTCGGCGGGCATGTTCCTCCTGTTGGCGGGCCTGTTCCTCCTGTCGGCGAGCCTGTTCCTGCAGGATCTTCATCAGAGCACCTAAGTCAGGTGCTGCAGATGCAGGAGCTGCTGACGGGCCGGCCTCCGTGGTCGGCAACTGGCCCGCCGACGTCTGTGACGTTGCACCACCAAATCGTCTCTGGTCCGTCTCCTGTTGGCGTTGAATTTGGGTACGGACAACCTCCGTGTCGTCTTCAGGTAAAATCGGCATATTTGATCCCACTTCTGACACCAATTGTTACGAGCTTGGGGTTCGAGACAATTTAAAACTGCCGATTGAATTACCAAAATTGACACTTTAATTACACAACACTGATTACAATCTAAAACCACACTAATAATAAAACACAATTGTACTACTGATCACTTAAGTTCGCAGTTGTTTCGCTTCGAAGTATTCTCTTGTATCGCTAATTCAATACTGCCTCGGTCGTGGTCTATACCGGCTTTATATAGGGCCTTAGATAGTTTCCAGAACCTTCTACTGTAGAAACATCTAGAATGTTCGAGTACATATCGGTCCCGAAATTTCTAGAAGGACCTTGACTCTCCTAGTTCTGCTACTCGACAATAGAGGGCGCTAGTGGTAACTAGTGTTGCCATGTACAAGACATTAATAGTGGCGCGCAACAATACCATTGCAATAAAATGACAGTATAAAAGTTAACAATTGTGATGATAACTTGAAAATTTTCGAAATAACACGCAGCACATTAGCATAGAATAAATAATAGTACTACGACATTAGCTAGTTTACTTAACCAGTGACGTCACGTCGGAATATAATATGGCGGATAGCGTTTTGGAGATATGCGGCACAGATACAAAAAAAAATATTCTTAAAATTTAATTATAAAATTTATAATGCATTTTTATGAATAGAAATCAATATTTCTCGTTTACTTTTTACAACACCTATCATAAATATATATTTTTTGATTTTTTTACATGATGTAAAATACCTTATTTTGTAAACAATAAAATTAGTTATTCATCTAACTTACATCTAACTTGTTATTTTGTAATAAAGTACGTGTACCGTGTACTTGATCGATACATTGACTGATCGCCTAGGTTAGGTAAAATTCTTATTTTCGGAAATAATTATTAGAATGGTACCCATAACATAGCCACGTAGCTTAACTAAGGAAAGTAATAAAAAATCTACTACTGAAATAAAACCTAATATTAAATCTAAAATGCATATCTAAAGTCACGTTAACCAACTTTATCAACGTGACAAAGTCATGATGATTTTTCATTGTAACTTTTTGGTAACCGGAACGGTCACGGTTATTTAAAAATTACACTTTTCCCCAAGTCTGTCGCCTCTTACGCGACCCAGGGGATGGTATTGATATTCATACACCTCCACTACACGGTAATTAATAACTTCTCAAAACATTTCATTTATCGATAACGGCTTGCAATCGTCGTTTCTCTAGTGCTCACTTGACCTTCATACAAATAATTTGATATTTTAATTGATGATAATTGTTTATTTTTCGATAAGAACATAGTAAAATTAATTAGCACAATGATAAGTTATATTTACCTTTATTTAAAAAAAATGTCCTTGTCCTGACCTACTATACTCTTTGGTTTGACCATAGGTCTGACTAAGTTAGTCCAATAAAATGTCGACGCCTGAGCGGTTAAATTAAATAAAGTAAAACATTCATTGTTTACGTTGATAGTGCCAATGTCAAACATAGCCTGTGGTAAAACCACAGAACACCTAATATAGCGGATTAGAAATGCCTTTGTTTCAATTTACTTACGATACCACTGCCGCCGCTAGTCTCCCCACTCCTTTCAGGTAGTTAACACACTCAACTCATATACGCTAGTGCTTGACAAAAAACTATCGATAAAATATCGACACAGAATAATGTAGGTAATAAATATGTGATAAAATAAAACATTTTAATGATATAATATGAAACGTAAATTTAATGAAATAAACTTAATGCTATAAAAAAGCGTAAAGTAGAAAAAATAATTAATTACAAGGAGTAAAATTTATACAGTAAAATATAAAAAAAATTAAGACATTTTCATCATTTAAAAAACAAAATATATATTGAAATATTTATGTATTTATTGTCCTGTAAAATGCAAATATTTATTTAAAAGTTGTCTTTTTGATACTTTTTGTGCTGAGGTTTTCATCAAATGGTGAAGCCGAATATCTGTATACCTTTCTATAATACATTTTGTTAACAATATTACATGGTTTTCCATTGGTCCCTGATCAAATTGATGAAAATCGATTTCTCTGAATACTTCAATGCCAATAAAATGACGTAAGGCTCTGGATGTTATCTGCTTTTTAAACTTTTCAAATTTTTTGACTAGTTGAGCATCTACAGTAAATGTTTTAAGAATTGATTCAATTTTTTTACAAATCAATATTACGTCAGCGCTAGGAAAAATAAGACCACCGTTGTCTTTCAACCGTATCAATTTAAAATTGTCTTTAATAGCACTGGAATTCAAAAGAGCCGAAATGCAAGTTTCGCATTTAATTTTGTTTAGTAAAAAATGTACCACATTTCCTGCTATGTAGCTTACTATTTCCGAACTAAATTCTGTCATGATATTTTCCGTTTTCAAAACTTCATCAAATTCTTTAATGTATTCTTCATTTTCCATTTCTTCTTCAATCATTGGTGATAAAGTAGATTTATTCATTTTTTCCACTGATGAAGAACAAGTCAAAATTGAAATATTTTCAAGTGCCATGCAATTACCACTTTCAAAATTATTCAATTCTAGTTTGACTAATAGTTTTTTATAAATAGCCATGAAATGTCGCGCTTTCGGGTTGTTGTTACATCCACCATGAGCTCTTATATTACTGAATAACAACTCCAGATGATCTTGAGACAACTTATAGGTGGGCAAATATTTTAATTTTTTTTCTTCTTCGACAAGCCTTAGATATAAATTTTTGACACTATTGATGCATACCAAAAGACCTAAAAATCCGGTTTTTTAAGTGATTTAATTATTTCCGTTTCGTTATACTCGTACATTTTTAGGTTTTTTATATATGCTTCCATTTTGTTTAAAAAAATGAACACCTTATCTTTGTTTTTGAAATTTATGGGTTTCTTATAGTGTAACTGATTAATATTTCGTGAATTTAAAATATCAAACAAGTCATTAAAATTTTGCAAAAAATCTACTGTGCCTTGAACATCGGTGAACTCCGGTTGGTTAGTTTTAGAACAAAAAATTAAATCTCTAGCCACACTACTGCTCATCAGTTGTGTCGCCAGCTTAACTTTCATTTTTTGGTTGTAGAAATAAATATGGCGACGTCTTAACTTATTTGCAAGATGCAAATGTTCTCTTTCCTGTAGATGGTTAAGATGAACCAGGTAAGACCACTTTATTGATCTACCAAAATTGTCTTTTAATGTTGAGCTTGATTCGAATGCATTTCTTACTAGTTTTAGCATGTGGCAAGCATACAACAAAACGTAAACTGGTTTTTGTGTAACGGGATGGCTAAAACAAGTCTTTATATTATTGATGTCAAAAGAGCATCCGAGAATTTTTGCCATTGTAAGATTAGCAGGACAACCGTCAAACGTCAGAGAAACCACTTCAACGCCAGTTGTGCTTAAAAGTTCAAGACACTGTTTCACTAGGTTTGACTTTTGCTCACCTGTTACACCGTCTGTTAGAAAGTATCCGACAGGAATTTTCCATGCCCCATTAAATGCAGTAACAAGGAATACTAAAGCCTCTTTAGCTTCACACAAATTATCCCCACCATCGTTTAAATTGTTTCCGAAATTGACATAACCATGCATACGTTTCCCATCCCATTCGATGCGCTGACGAATCGCCATCTCATCCAACACCAAATTACATAATATTGGATATTGTGTAATTTGAACTTTAGATTTTATAGCATCAAGGGACTCTGTGGTAAAACCAGGTTCTGCGTCAAAAGATTGATACCATTTTTTAATGGTTCTGGGATGAGGCAAACAAGTCTCAAACTTGCGCCTTACATAAAGATATGCTTTCGGCGAATAAAAATGTAGCGTCATCGCAAAACTCCTAAGGCTCGGTGAGTATTTTTCACGTGTTAATTTTTTAGATTTTAATTTCTTCTCACATCTTTTAAATAACTCTTTTGTGTTAACGTTGGTGTTTTCTAAAAAAAGGTTTGGTCGCTATTAATTAATCTATTTGATTGTAATTCCTTTATTATTTCTTACAACTATAATTTCTTTTATAATGATTTCTTATATTTACGCGAACACTACACATTGAATAAAACTATTTTTTACGGATTTTATCGCGTTTAATTAACTTATTTTATATTCCCGATGTTTCGGTTGCTTTCCCCCCCGAGACCCCGTGACCACGGTTGCTGGAAAGCAACGTCGGGAATATAAAATAAGTTAATTAAACGCGATAAAATCCGTAAAAAATAGTTTTATTCAATATAATTTCTTTTATATATCTCCGGTTTTGACCTTGTAACCTTTTTATTTTCGATCTTTGAGTTTTTATAACATTTTCCTTTTCGTTTATAATACGTTGCATTTTTCGTTTTCTGGGATTTTCCATTATGTCCGGATCTAACTGTATCGCTCGCTTAGCAGATTTAGATGACATAGAAGGTGACGGAGATTTTGATGGTGTTACGTTAACTTGGTTATCTGAGACCTGAAATAACATGTTTGGTAACTTAATAGTTATTTGGAAAAAGTAGCAAGGTGACAATTATAGAATTAAAACATAATGATTAACAAACATTTTTCCATTCATCATTCTCAAAAAGGGGTTTAAGGTGGTACGACACGCACACTAGCGCCGCAAATAGAAATGATTTTAGTTATATTTAGAACATCAATCGACTTCTTCGAGTATTTTGTGAGCAGTTACAAGAAGTATCAAGGTACAGTATCAAAAACAAACCAATCATTTGCGAGCTGAAACTATCATAAATATTTCTATATAAATATAACTATCATAAATATGTATTGACTGACTTCATTTCAGTATAATTACGCAAAATGTCGTAAAGCGTTTCGTTTCCGAATTATAAAGTATCAAAAATGTACTAGTGGCGCTACATAATTTATTTACTGTTTTGCATAATAGAGCCACGGGATGGTTTGTATTTTATTAAAATACTTTATTTATTTAGAAGATACTTACATTTTCAGAAGTTGTCCAAACGTGAATAGTCGGATAAGCATGATCCAAAAGAATACGGCGTTTTCTTGTAGGATTAAAATCCTTTTCTTGAAAATGTGCTGAACATATTTTGCTATGTTTGGAAGGAAACCAAATTTTTTTCCCTGTCGCCAAAATCCATTTATCCTTAACTTCTGGGTTTATTGGAAAACTAAAAAAATATAAGCATATTGATTGAATAATAAAACATATTTATTATTCAATCAATATTATTTCTTTCTAAAAATAACCTGCTAGAATTGATTATACAAGGCCTTGAACGAATTAACCACTGGACCCGACATAAAAGACAAATGTATGAAAACTCGTTCAACCAAGTGGAGAATAACCCACACAAAGATTTTATTACTTTAATATATACATAGATACATAATTCGTAGAAGGTAACTCTATTTCTAGTGCTTGAACGTAGCCGATAAAATATATCGATGAACGATTTCTCATTCGTTCATCGATATATTTTATAATTTATACAAAAAATGCATAATCGTAAATAAGCTAAGCTGTAAGACAAAGGAAATAAAGGGAGAATTAAGGTGAGGTAAGCTTACAATATTTAAACTTAATTAAAATAAAAGAAGCAGGACATTGTTATGGACTTTTTATTCAATTATAGTTATTATAAACGTCAATTTTTTTTGTAAAGTTTAAATTATTTAAATAGGTTTACTGACTTTTATTATGTATCATTTTTCTTAAAATGTGTTTCTTAGAACTTGTTTTGTTGGCTTGTTTTCTTATATAAGCAATTCTAAAATTTAAATAATATTCAGCAACGGCTTTCATTAATTCTTCGACGTGATTTCCGTCGTCGTTTTCAAATTTGTGGAAATGAATACAACGGAAGTTGTAGCAATGTTTCTGTTACTTTCGGCAGGAAAAAGTCTGTTGTGTAATCTTTTTTTAGTCTCTTATTCTGAACACCCTTCCTAAGTTCGAGTTCGCAGTGCTGACAAATAGCTATGGTGTCACTTGAGGGATGTATCAGTTTTCCCTTGTCTTTATGGACAATGAGACTGCCTTCATTGGTGTCAATTTGAGGGAGGAGAGCAGACGTGCAAGTTTCACATTTTAATGACTTCAAAAGGTTGTGAACTACAAAACCAGCAATATATTCAACCACCTTTTGTCCGTAAGGCGAAAGCGTAGTTACATGACGCAGTTCATCATTATCCGGGGTTAAGTGCAGTTTGGTTGTCGCTGTTACTTCTCGCTGTTGTCATATTTATTCTCTCGACAGGTGATTTAGATGAGCAGTTAAGTATTGTAATGGATTCCAACGGTACACATTTCCCTGAATCTACATCAATAAGTTCTGAGTGAACTAGCATTCTCTTGTATATTGATTCAAATAGCTTGATGGTTGGGTTATCATTGCATCTTCCATGACTACGTATATTACTAAAAATATTTCAATGTGATCTTGAGATATTTTATGGAAAGGCAAGTATGTCATGTGATTGTCTTTTTTTACTAAGTCTTCAAAAAGTCCCTTAGCACTTTCAGCACATAAGCAGAACCCAAGAAAGCCAGTAAAGCGAAGCGTTTCCATAATATTTGTCTAATTATGTTTTAATTTTTTTAAATTTACAGGTTTATTTTCTGCTAATATAAAGTTTATTTATTTAAAAACCCTAAACAGGCTTTAATTATTAAATTTATATAGATTATTTGTATTAAATTTGTATGAGACCACCTCGAGAGCATATTCTTTCGAATACAAAAAGAATTTTTAAATCGGTCCACAATTGGCGGAGACATAGCGTAACAAACATAAAGAAAAAACCTGAAGAATTGAGAACCTCCTTTTTGAAGTCTTTTTGAAGTCGGTTGAAGAGGTACAAATAATAAATATTTCAACGTTAAAGGCAATACCAACTTTTGGAGATGATTTTGATATTGTAATTGAAGAGGATGCTTGAAATTTTGAATTCGAACATTCCATGGTATCACAGCTTAGTTCTTGTGACTGTAAAAAGGCACTGTATTATAACAAGAAAATTTGAAGAAAGTGAAAATCATACTTAAACATTATTTTTTGTCATGTCATCAATGTAAGTAAGTCATTTTAATAAAATCACGTATATCGGTAAAAACAATGTCGGAACAGCATCTTTTTCGAGCTTTTTCTGTTTCTTTGCATTAGTATTAAAACAGGCAGTACCGAAATGTACACTGCATATTGCGCTGAATTTCTTCGGAATCCAGGTTTCATCTCTACGAACTGCTTCTACCCACTTTCTCTTCCGAGAAGGGTCACTAGGAAATCCGAAAATTCGTGTAATTTACGTTTTTAAATATTTTAAGTACAGATACTAATTATAATTTTTGCATTTATAATATTTTTATTTAATTATAAAAATTATAATTATAAATTTAATGACATAAAAGCTTTTACAAAAATTTACTTCGCAAATATCCGCGTTATAAAATAAAATGATGTGTCTTACCTAGTATGAAGAAGCACCTCCCGCCCTCCCTCAATTGCGTGCACTAACCCCGTCACCACTAATCCCAGCACCGCTACTCCCAACACCACTACACTAGGCAAGACACACCACTGACGATAATACGACACGTGTTTCGCCTCTACACGAGGCATCCTCAGGTGATATAGACTCTACGGTGGCTAACCGCTAAGAGCTTAGCGGTTAGCCACCGTAGAAAATATATAAATAGTA